GAGAGAGAGAGAGAGAGAGAGAGAGAGACAGTATCAGAAAGGCCAGTGGGGTCACGATCTTTTGACAGGCACGGGCGGCTGATGGTGTGTTCAGGGGTCAGAGGCTCTGTGCTTCCACCTGCTTCTGCTTGTCTTCATCAGAGAGGATTTTCAGGCAGGGAAGAGAAAGCCAAACCCAGTTAAGAGGTAGCTGAAGACACGAGTTGATGAGCAGAGGGGAGGGAGAACCAGGTCACTTTACTGACTGACTGGTTGGGACAGGGTCTCACTGTGCAGTTCTGGGCGGCCTTGAACTATGTAGCCTCGGCTGGCCTTGAACCCGTGGCGATCCTCCTGGCAAGTGCTGGGATCTACAGGTGTCCACTGCCACCATGCCTGGCCCTGTTCTGTTCTGGACACATCAGCAGGGCTGGTTTCAGTTCAGGACCCTGATGGGTGGGTGGGTGGGGGCAGCAGGGTCTTGCTAAGTAGCACAGGTTGGCCTTTTACTTGTGGCCATCCTCCTGGCTCAGCCTCCCAGGTGCTGGGATTACAAATGTGTGTTCCATGCCCAGCTGGAACACTAGATTTTTTTTTTTTGGTACGGGGGATCGAACTCGGGACCTTGTGCTTGTGAGGCAGGCAGCAGAACCACTGAGCTAAATCCCCGGCCCCTGGAACACTAGATTTTTAAGGGAGCCTTGGACAAGGCATTTTTTTCCATCTAAAAGGTTTGAACATCCTAACCCCAAGAACAAAGAGGGAAGAAATGGGGATATCCAAGCCTAGATATGTGGGAAGGGACTCAGGGGAGCCTGCAGGACTCTGAAGGGGGAACAGACCAATTTTTGTCATTACAGATGGCAGAAAGGTGGAACTGAGAGGGGTGAAAACATTACAGATGATTAGGTTGGGCCTTCAGTGTGCTAAGAGATTGTCCTTAACAGGCATCTGCTTACAAAGCCGTAAGCCCCAATCACTGAGAGGCCTGGGGGGAATGGGGTAGCTGTTGGTAAGATGCAGTAACATGGGGATCCAGTTTAGAACTCCAGAAACTATGGCCTTGCAAGCCCCTTCTGAAGTTATGCAACTCAATCTCTGCAAAACAAACACATCTGGTTCTGGCACTTGGGAGACTGAGGCAGGAGGATCATGAATTTGAGGCTAGCTTGTACTACACAGCAAGATCCTGTCTCAAAAAACCAAGACATCTGGTGGCAGCAGGACTGTTCTGCTGAGGGCCGGTCAGATGGAAAAGGGAGAGGAATTCTAGGATGATGGGCTCCTCTGCCCCCATCTAGGGTCCTGGATTGCCCTGAGCACCCTTGGGCAGGGATCATGGGGAGTGTCAATCTGAGAGACCGAGAAGGTACACACAGGACTGTAGTGAGAATGCCCAGGCACGTGCCAATGGCAGCCACCCCCTCCATGTCAGGAACACAATTCAGCCTTCCCAAGCTGGACCCCCACCAGGTTGTGTGCTCTCTCTTCACATGGAAATGGTCACTGTGCCCAGACTCAGGGCTGCTCAGAGCTACTCCGCTGGGCAGGGAGAAGGCTGGGTGCACGGGATGTTGTCTGATCCAGGTGAATTACATCCTTCCAGCAAATCATAGTCTTTCTCCTTCCTCCCCAGCTCCTCGAAGAGGGCAGGTCCCTGCTCAACCCTCACCCTGGGAAGGGATGAAGGCTTTGAGCTCACTGAGGGCTCCATTTTAAATGAGTACCAGCAGCCGAAGGTAAAGCCGGGACTGTGGACAAAGGGCTCATTAAAAGGGTAAGTAAAGTCACGCCAGCCATTCAGTCTTTTGGTTCCTATCTTTGTGCTTTAGGATCCAGAGCCACCTTCCAACAAGCAGAAGGGCTGAGACCACTGGACACTCAAAAGGAGGTGGGGGAGCAGATGGAATCCTCAGGAGCACATAAAGGGACCCCTTAGCTAGGGCAGGAAAGCTGAGCCCCAATAAAATGTCAGCAGGGGCTCGGGGAGGGGAGGGAAGGTGCCTGGGGTGGGGGCCAGAGAAGCTGGCACACACCAACATTTTTCCACGGACCCCTTGCCCACCCTCCGCTGACTCCCCTCCACACCTGGCCAGGCTCAGCTTGCTGGCAATGCTGACCCACCAGAAATAGAATTATTTTTGTAATGCATATATTATTACATCCTTATAAAAGTGGCTGCCAGAAGGAAAACACTTTTATGTGCTGTGGCCGCACAGATGTTCCACAAGGTAGTTCCAACTGAAGTCTGAAGTCAGAGCCCAGGCTGCCTGTCCTCAAAACCCTCTCCTCCTGTCCATGGCTTGAGGTGGGGGTGACATCGGAAAGCTCTTGCAAACTGGTGGCCGTTGTCCTCAGAAGGGGAAACTGTCTCTCACTGGCATGTGGCATCTTTAAGTGGGCACAGCCAGGAGGGAGGGCCGCTCAAGAGCCCTGTGGCTGCTTCTGGCACTGGCTCCAGGGCCCCTGTGCTGGAGCCCAAAAGGAAAAGGGCTTCAGTTTGTCTAGGACTTGATTTCCTTGCCTCTGCCTCATACTAAAGAAACTAATATATATAAAATGCCTAGAGTGGTGCCCAGTGGGATGGCAGCTCTTCCGGCTTGTCAAAACAGAGCTCCATTCCCAGTCCCCTTCTGGCCCTTGGAGTCCTGCTAGTTGCCAAGGCATGCTGTGGGCATGAGACCATGTTGGAGGCCAGGATTCAACCCGCTGCCAAGCCAAGGAAGGCTAGAGTTGCCCAGTGTAGGAAAACGTTGGGTCTAAAACTCTATACATTCTAGAAGGTCTGTGGTAGCAGCAGTAACAGCTATCTTTATTGGGTATAAACCATGTGTTGAAATGTTAAGAGCTTTCAAAACAGACAGCATTGACTCTACCATGAAAACCCAGAGTCTCAGAGAAGCGAGGTGGTCTGTCCGGGTCACATAGCTGGGAAGCTATTGGGCTAGGACCAGAACCAAGGTCTGGATGATTCTGAAAGCTGTTTTCCTCCACAAGAGCTCTTTGCTGGCTCATTTTCCTATGTTCTTTACCAGAAAAGCCAAGGATAAACCACAGTCCAGAGCTCAGAAATTCCCACCAGAGTCCATCTCAGCCTCATGTGTCTCCCCTTCATCTCCTGCCCTGTCCTCCGCAGCCTGGGATGGTGGCAGAGAGACAGCCTAACACCAGCTTTCCTTCCCGACCAGGCACTGGGTCACTCTGCCCCAGGGCATCTATCTGACAAATGTCCCACAAACCACACGTAGGAGCCGCGCTGCTCAAGTGTGGCCACCCAGGCAATCTCATGGAAAGCAAGGAGCTGCCTGCAGCTGCACACACTCCCAGATCTGCCCTGAGCTCACTAGCCCACCCTTTGGTTCCCTGCATCTGGAAGGGCGGGTAATGGCCTCATCCCTCTAAGGAAAATATACTGCCTGGCTAAATGAACTGCCGAGCCCAAGTCAGGGAGGCCTCTGCTGCCATGACCCATAACAAGGGCCACAGCTAGGGCTTTCCTGCCTAAAGACACATTGGGCAACTTGTGGCTGTGTGGGAAGACAGCTCTGCCTGCAGATGACCGGTCTGACCTCCCCACTCGACAAAACATTCCACCTTCATGTCTAAATATTTAGAATCTGGAAAAAAAAAAAAAAATCAAACGAACATCTGCAGGGCCCTTCCCAGGATGGGAGACCTTGGATCTCCTTCTAGAGATTTATGGTCTGCCTTTCCCACGTCTGCTGTCACACACAGATGGGACCCCAGTGCAGCTTCCTTTTCAACATGCTGGTACTTGGCATGCAGCCCTTTTTCACTTGCCCCAGGCCTTCCTGCTGGGGCTCCGAAGCAACACTCCAGGGGACACCTTTGCTGGCCTTCCTACTTCCTCACAGGAGAGTCCCAGGGGGCAGGAATGAGCCTCCACAAAGCCCCATGGTGGCAGGGATTCGCCTAAACACTTCATTCCAGAGAAACAGCTCTAGGTGGCAGGGGTCCCAGAGGCTCATACCCAGGTATGTCCTGACCAGCTGGGAAATGCAGCTGTGGCTATTCATCACCGTGACAGGGACCACGGAGAGCAGCACTCCAGCTCATTCGCTGGCACTTCCCAAAGCCATCAAACCGAGGACACAGGGAAGCCTGGGATGCCCGGGGAAGGGACCCCTGAGGAGAACCACCAAGTCTTTCTGGGACATTTCTGCAGGCAGGGCCTAGAATGCCAGAAAATGAGGGAGGGTCTGGGGCCATGCATAGGCCAGGGCCCTTGGCCAGATTGCTGCTGGGGTGGGGGACAGAACACTGGGAGAACTGGGACACAGCTTGGCTTGCTGGGGAGGGCTCCTGACAGCTGGCCAGGATGACACTTTTACCCATGGGCAAAGTGAGTGTGATGGTAAGGAGGCTGAGTGTCCACAGGAAAACCCTCAGCCTGCCACTGCAAGGACAGTGTAGGGAAGGGGCGAGGGAGACTCCCATCTGACTGTGCGCGCAGCCTGGGGCTCACACAGCCTTGGCTGTTCTGCTCCAAACACTTCCCAGCTGTGGCTGCTCCTCTAGCCTCCTCCTGCCTTTGCCCTCCTTCCTGCCTGGAGCTGACAATGACTTCTGTGCAGACCCCTCCTGTAGAGACCCTTGGGTCTCTGGGGGCTTCCCGGGGCCAGGCCTTGCTACCTCCCTCCTGGGCAGCTCTAACAGACAGCCCTACTGTCAGCCAGTTTCTACAAATGAAAATCAGGTCACATCACAGGACCACCTAAAAACCCTAAAGCCCTCTTTGTTCCTCCAGGTGTGAATGCATCTCTGGTGGTCCACCTGTCCCCTGGTGCCCATAAGGCGGGATCCTGCCTAGAAGCAGCTGATTTTCATTTGAACATTTATTTACCATCTACTGAATGGCAAGCAAGGAAGACAGTTTCAGACCAAACAAGTGTGGTACAGTAGAAAGTGGCGTTTTTTTTCAGTCAGGCAAATCTAAGTTCAAATCCTGGCTCTACCTCTTATTGGTCAAGTCATCATGGACAAACTATTGAATAGCTGAGCCTCAGTTTCCTCACCTGTTGGGTGGGGTTATATGCCTTGCTTATAATCAAATCAAAGGAGATGGTCTGCACAGCCATACATGCTTACTGTGCACTGCTTGTCTGCCCAATGTTCCAGGAACCCTCTGTCTCCCATCCAAGGCAACCCCAGACATTTTTCCAGGGCTCATCTGGGACTCATACCTAAACCCCTCAGCCCTCGTTTCCCTTGTTTGCTCAGAAGCTGCGCATCATTAACTTAGATTTGTCTACCTCACTGCTCCCCCTTCCCCCTTTTATAGTTACTTACATTGGAAGCGAGCCCTAGCTTTAATGCACCTCAGATGAATTATGGGATTGACCGTAAGAATGATGACAGAAGCATGAATTTCCTCATTAAAGCCCCAAGAGCAAAAGGCAATGCAAACAAGGTCCGCAGCCCCAGCCGAGGTGTGCTGAGGACAGCCACTCATCAGGCCCGAGTTTGGCTTGGCAGCAGCTGCTGCTCAAGGCGAGCCGGAACCAGACGCTGGCCATGGCTGACAGCTCTGATTTAAACTATTAGGAAGGCTGAGGATTAAATATTTGTCCAGGTCACTGTATACCTGGAGAAATTATAAACAGTTCAGAATGGTAAGTGATGCAGGAAGTAGTCTCTGGATACAAATTTAGGGCTTTCCACCATTCCCCAGGTGTGAGGGTGTGGGGAGGCAGGCAGTGGAGAAGCTGGGGGCCCGGGGGTGTGCTGCCCTCTCAGGGTCCCTGGAAGGTGAGAGGCTGTTTCCAGGCAGCGGGAGGGGCTCTGCCCTGGAGCACCAGTGCTTGGTTCTGGGTGGGGCAGGGACAGCCTTGTCTCGAGGCCAGGCAAGGGGACCCTGTGCTCCCTCTGGCCTCTGGCCGAGATACAGCAGAGGTGGAGGAGGTTCTGCATGTGAGAGTCTAGGGCTCCGACACCCCCCAAGGTGTACTGGCTGACTTCTGCCTTGCACTACTATTTTTCAAATGCGTGTAGATGTTGTTGCAACTAGTAGAATACAAATTAACTTAAGAGTTACTAACTAGAAAAAAAAAAAAAAGTTACTAACTGATCCTGTCATTTTTTTTTTTGGTACCAGGGATCGAACTCTGGTACTTGAGCCTGCACTTGCGAGGCAGGTGGCAGAACCACTGAGATAAATCCCCGCCCCTTTCTGTCATTTTTTTCTATCAGGAGCTATTAAAAGTATGATTATCTTTTTTGTGTGTTTGTGGTGCTGGGGATGAAACCTAGGGTCTTGCACATGTTGGGCAAGAGCTCTGCCCCTGAGCCACACTCTCAGCTCCGAGAGTAACCATTTTATTGAGAAAAAAAGAAAAATCTCCTGACACTAAGGGGAATGCTCATTCTCAAAAGCTAGGTATTCTAGAACGGGACAGGGTGCCATCTGGCAGGCTCCCTCCTGAGGGCAAAGTACTGCTCCTTCAGAGCCAAACTGTGCTGCCTCTGTGTGTTCTGTGCCTTCTCTTTCCCCTTTACTCAAAGCTTCCTGTGAGAAGGTGAAGGGTTCTGGAAGGAAGAGTGTGACCCTCAGAGGGGTCAAGGTCTTCAACATGAGCTTCACCCTAGACGGGGTCTTAAACCGGCTTAGATGCTTCCAGTAGTGTCTGATGAAGACAGTAAAGTCTGCTGCAGGAGCAGACAGTCTCTTCCAGTGCAAACTCCAAGTTCAGTTTAGACACAGCAGAGAAGGGATGTTTAGAAGCCTGGTTGCTAGTGATACCCAAGGATAAAATGGGTGAGAGGAATGGGTAAGCAGCACCTTTTTCAGTTTTAATGTGCACACAGAATTCCCAAGAGAATTTCATTAAAATGTAGCTCCTGAGTTGACTGGTCTGGGTGAGGCCCAATCTTTCAGCTTTTCTGTTAAGCTCTTCAGTGAGCTGTGGCTGGTCCTCAGACTGGGCTGAGGCAGCAAGGTGCAGAGACCCTGAGCAGCAGATGAATGGCTCACAGAGAACCAAGCTGGCTTGGCCTGACGGTGGTCTTGACAGGAGGGCAAACAGCGCAGCACTGCTTCCTGGAGCACTGCGTGAGCCTGCAGTGTAGGACTGTAGCCAGCCCCAGTGAGTGAGAAGAAACCATGGCTAAGCCTGCAGTCACCTTGTTCTGCTACAGAAGGGAGCCAGCTGGGACGTGGCAGGGGTGTACGCTCAGAGGGCACTGATTTGAAACAAAGCTTTCTCAGATGGCAGATTTACAGCTGGCCAACACAATCACCCTAAGTGGGGCACACTGCTCACTCATCTCTGCAGAAGGTCAGCTCTGAGGCTGGCACCCGTGGGCACTGGCAAGTGGCTGGCAACAGGAACTTTACCTGTCTGGTGAGGCTGCCCCCGAGGTTCATGGTGCCCGAGCCGGATTTGTTGGTTTGCAGCCAGAGCATCACTGTGGAGGTCAACTTATAATGGGCAGTGCGGCCACTGGACTTCTCCTAGGGGGATGAGGCAGAGATCAGAACCTGAGGAGCAATTTAAGCCGAGGAGGGCCTTGAGTGTCTCCTTCAATTCAGGGTCATTGTAACATGTCCCTTCTGAAGGCATCACCACATTACCTGCCTTAAAAATACCAACTGTTTTTTTTTTTATCTGATGCCAAGAATCAAACTCAGGACCTTGCGCTTGCCAGGCAGGTACGGTACCATTGAGTTACATCCCTGGTCCTCCCAACTGTTTTTTTTTTGTGTGTGTGTGTGGTACTAGGAACTGAACTCAGGACCTTGTGCTTGCGAGGCAGGTGCGGTGTCACTGACCTAAATCCTCGGCCCTCCTCCTAACTGGTTTTTAAAGGGGCAGAATCTGCAATTCTGTATATTAAGTTCTCTTGGGATCTTTATTATAGACTACTGCAGCCTTGTATCTATCCAAATGGATTTGGGGCTTTCTTAGGAATCAGCAGGGGTCTTTGCATCACATCGGAAACCTTTGCTAGAGACCAGGCTCACTGGTGGGCTTGGCACCTGCACTGGGAGGCCTGGGCCACCAGCTGGTACCTGCACTTCTACCACATGGATGGAATCCCAGCAGCCTTTGATCTTCTTTGATCCATCTCCAGCCTTCTTTATGAGGATCACTCCAGCAAACCCATGATCCAGATCCCAGAGGTAGACAGACGAGACTCCACCTTCAAAATACCTGCAAGAGACAGGCCCATGTGCCCATTAGGTGTTAAGAGATCTTAGACCAGGTCCCAGGCTGTCATTTGGCAACAACACACCTAGACATCTGTCTGGGATTAAGGACCCCCCTTGCAATGTTTCCAGGCCCGCTCTTTCCATCCCAATCACCCTCCAGGTGAGAGTGAGATGCTGCATTTTCAGGGTCAATAGAAGAATGTAGGCTTAGGGGTCATGAATATAAATTTGAGTTTGAGCTTTGTGCTTCTGGCAAGCTTATTAAACTTCTCTAGCCTTCAAAATTCTTCCCAGATAAAGGATCTGACATAGTGTGTGACACACAGCAGACTGGAATGACTGGAAGCCACCACTACTGTAGTAATCATTATTATAAATGACTTTAGTCAGTATTTCTATCTTTTGAGATTCCTATTTGAAAGGGGAAATGGGAAAATATAGCAACAAGCACTGCACTCTTCCCTGAAATCCCACCCATCCCAGGAAGACCCCCTGATGGTCTTTCAGGGTCACTTGCTACAAAACCCTAGCGAGAAACAAAGGGTCAAATGCAGGAATACAGCTTCTCCCCAGCTCCAAGTCAATATGGAAAGATTCCCTGTTATGATCAAATGGAGGAGGCAAAGAAAAGGCCAGGCGAACAGGCAATCAGGCTGAGAGCGCAGATCCAAGGGACCTGAGGTGACTGTTGTAGCAGAGGCTGCTGTGAGTAGAGATCCCAGGAATGGAGCGAACTGACACAGAATCTCAAACTGCCGATAGCTGACTACAACTCTGGAAAATTCAAATCTCTCACGGCCAGTGCATTCTTTACCCGGCAGTCCAGGACCTCTCTGACACCAGGGAGGCCATGAATTAACAGTGCAGCAGCAGTGTGTGTGAGGGACCTCAGCCTCAACAGCCCGGAAGGCCAGCCACAGGGGCACAGAGAACATCAGACACACGGGCCAGACCCAGCAGCCCCAGCGACAAGCACTGCTCACGTGCCTATCCTATCCACCCGACAATGATTAGCTAAGGGCAGTGACCAGGGACCAGTTGTGAGAACCTGGGCCACACAATGCCTACTTTATCCAACAGCTTAGAGACAAAAGCAAAATAAACAAAATATCTGACAGATGATTACTGTTGTTTTTTATATTAAATACTAAAAATTAACAAGCATCTGTGGATTATATACCAATAGAACTGTTATATAACACACACACACACGCGCGCGGGCACGCGGGCACGTGTGCATGCAGTAAATGTTAGTATTTAGGGAGCATGGAAGAAGAGCAGATAAGAATTCTTTGTATAATTGTTCCTCTGTACCTACAGCCGGTTCCACATCCTTGGACTTGGCAAATTTGGGGTTGAAAATATTTGGGAGAAAGACTGCATCTGTACTGAACATGTACAGACTTTTTTTCCGGTCATTATTCCCTAAACAATATAGTATAACAACTATTTACATGGCAGTTGCACTGTGTTTGGTATTGTAAGTAACCTGGAGATGATTTAAAGCCCACAGAGGGTGTGCACAGGTCCTGTGCGATTACAGTAGGATTTTATGTGAGGGCCTTGAGCATCTGAGGACTTTGGTTTCCACACAGGGTCTGTGAACCTACCCCTGCAGATACTTAGGGCCAACTATACTCTGTATTTGCAATTTTACTCAAAGTCTAAAACTATTTCAATTATTCACTAAATGACATACACCAAAGTATAACAGACAACCAGACCAAGGAATAGCCCGACCTCATGGATACACTGACACATGAGGGTGGCAAAGCTATTTTATCTCCTTGTTCTAACTTGGTGCAGACTGCAGGTTCAGGGTGCTCAAGGGGGCTTGTGCTTAGCTGGCTGCCCTTGCCTCAGCCCTCCAAGACTCCTTAAGGTAGATGGGGCCAGTCCTCTGGTGCAGGACCCTTCTGTCCCCACTTCTCCACCCCACACCCCCACTGTGATTAAGCCGTCAAGGTGGACTCACATCCCACCTCCCACTGCCAGGGGCAAGCACAGGAGCCACAGTGAGTATCTGTGGATAAGTGTTGAGGAGCCAGATGCACAGTGACATGCTGCAGTGTGGGGCCTGGCTCTGGACAGGTGCAACACTGCAGGACCATGAGAAGAAAAGGATGTAGGAATGAGCAGACACCTGTGGGGCCCGGCACTCAGGCCAACCCTGCACCCTCGGGGATGTGACACTAGAATATAAAGGTCTCTTAACCCAAATTCTCCCCAAACCTCCCCTCCCGGGATGAGATGTGTTTTGATTTAAGGTCTGAGGTCCCACCTCCCTCTGTAGAGCAACTCTGGTGTGGATCAGCCCCACAGGGTGGGCACACACTGGGCCATTCTTGAATTATCCCAGGCCATGTCGAAATGGATCAGTAACCTCTAAATTAGAGCTGTGCTGGACTCCAGGTTTCACAGTGCTCAGGCAACACGAAGCATGGGCTCATGAATTTTTGTGGCCATGAGTTAACTTAGGAGGCTGGAGGGAACAGCAACCCACAGCAAACCTTCTGGTACCCTTCCTGCTTGTAATGGTTCTTGTGTGGCAAAAGGGCTGGGCTGATAATTTCTTCTTCCTTCTGCCTATGCTGGAACAAAGGCTGGAAGGCCAGGGACACTGTGGCACCAGCCATAATGGCACCACTCCTCTGTATGCTGTAGTATTGGGGAGAAGCAGGTCAGGCTGCCCTTCGAGGGAACTAGGTGTCCTGGCTGCTTGGCAGTCCTAATTAACACCATCTAGTGACCAGTTCAAAAGTACCAGGTGGCCTAAGGTTGAAAACCTTGGTCCTATCCCTTTGTTCTTCCAGAAAAATAAAACATCAGCATCAATGTTTTATAATGTGGAACTGGCTGTTTCTGCTCCAGTGCCCCACCCCGTGGCCTGGCTCCTACCCTGGTCAGCTTCTGTCTGCTATCCTTGGCTACCCTTGTGGGCCACGCAGACCAGGTCTAAAGTTTCAAAATGCTGGAGAGGAAGAAGGTAAAAATGAAAGCCCAATAGTGACCTCCTTGTGGGTTACTTTTCTTTTCTCAGAAAAAAAAAAAAAAAGAGAAAAAAAGATCATCAATATTAATAAAAAAGAAAATTTAAAATATAGCCCACAATACTATAAATCAATGTATCCCATAAATCTGATTTTTCCAAAGTCCCTTCCAGTCTTTGTCCAGATATCTAACCTTTATATAATCATAAGCACAACAATGGGTACCATGTTGAGTTCAGCTTTTTTTCACTTGGCACCTAATGATTATCACTTTTCCATGGAGCCACATGATCTCCATAATCATTTTTTGTAGCTGGGATAGTATTCCACTGGGCAAGATCCTAATTTATAGTTGCTTTGACTTTTAATAAAGAAATGACGGCAGTGGAATTAGAGGCGGTGCCGCTGGCCTCTCAATTTGAATGTGTTCTTCTCCAAAGGAATTGGGGTGTTCCCTCCTGAGGTGTGGAAGGCGTGCTGGGACATAGCCTCCTCCAGCATGGCCAAGACACCACAATTCAAGAATGGACTTGTATTCCATGCACCAAGAGGGATCTCCAGGGACTTGAGCGGCCACAAGTCTCAACGTGACATTCCAAGACAAAGTGATGAGAAAGGACTGCTCTGGAATGGCTCAGAAGCACCAGCCTTCCGGCTAAGTGCTGTCAGGTGAGCTCCTTGCACAGTCGGGTGGGAGGTGACTTCAGGGGGCACAGACACCCCCCCCTCCATGGTTTATGGTTTTATTCTGCGCGTGAAGCATTAATTAGAGAGACTTCAACAAGATTTTGAAAATTTATTCTTACCTACTGTACTTTGATCATAATGACATGAAACAAGGAAAAAATAACAATTTTTATGTGGTTCACATTTATGAATTTTTACATAAAGGCTTTTGTGGGTATTTTAAGAATGTGCTAAAATGTCTGAAACCACATGAAGCCATCTGGGAAGTCACCCGCCAGAACTAACAGCACACACCTGGAAGCACTTTAACTGGCCTTTGTATATGTAATGAGTCAAATAGTATTAATATGGTTTATATGCTAACATGCTATTTCAATAAGGTGGCTCTGCTATCACCAGCGACCTGCTCTCGGGCCCCACGTGGCAACACGAATGATCAAATGTGGCCAAGAGTTGAGAGCAGGCTCCAGGGGAATTAAGCCACCCTGCCTTGAGTTCTGCCTGTGCTTGGTCATTTCAAAACCCCCAGCTCTCCAGGAAGCAAGAACGGACCCAGACTGAGTGCCTCAGCTCAGCCAACTGGGCTCAAGAGGGAAAGCCCAGAGTTGCAGCAGCAGGGTCTCCGGTCACGGGAGGCACAGAGAACATGTGCCCAACTGGAGGCCCAAAGATGAAAGCACGGGCTTTGCTTGGGTCACCTATCAAAGAGGGAAGCTGAACAGCCCAGGGCTGAATTCAACACACATGGTCAAGGTGGTGAACACCTCGCTCAAATGACGACACCCCACTAGCAGGCTGACAATCTCAGGAGACTGCAGAGGGTCACCTCGGACAAGGGTTGGACATGAAGTGGTGGGGCCTCAGACAGCTCCAGGACGCCCAGAGTGGGTGGAATGACTGACCCAGATGGAAAGCCAGGAATCACCTTGCTGTTTGCAAACTGTCAACTGGTAGTTCCTAGCAATGATGAACCTTTGCTAAGGCAAATGGACCTGCAGAGGAGTCAGACAGCTGGGACCAAGGCAATGGAGCTGCTTGGGGTAGGAACTGTAACCCCAAGATTATGTTTCTGGGGACTCTGAACTGGATGAGCAAGGAGCAAAGGGCAAGACACTCAGGCAGGGCTGCTATTTATCAGCCTAGTCAATTATAGGTTGAGTTTATTCTTCACCATAAGATCCCTGAACTTGGATCAGCTCAAAGCCTAAAGTGTCAATAATCTTTCTCTTGTGAGTTCTAGGCTGTTTCTCCCTGAATGCCCCTCTTCCTCTAGTATAATACCAAAGTCATGTACTGAGTTTACCCCCATTATTCTTCCACTGCA